TTTTTTTTTTTTTCGTGTTTTTTTTGTCGTCGGTTGGTCTCGCCGAAACGTTTCTAGAACCGGTCTCCATTTTTCATACCGACGAAAACTCGTTCTAGGACGCAATTCTCCGGCATATACCGGAAGGCGCCCGAGGCACAGCAGCACAGCATCACAGCAGCAGCAGCAGCAGCAGAACACGGCGGTTGGTTTCGCCGCGAGCTACGGAGGAGGTTGTCGGAGATTGATATCCTTGTAGGCAATGTGCCCGTCAGCCAGCGTTGGTGGTTTATGTGGTTACTGCTGTGGGATATGTGCGTGGTGTGTCATGCGGGTATGCGCGTGATCCGTTTTTTTTTTCGGGTTTTAAGAGTCGTCGTACGCCGGGATTATATGACCATATCTGGGTAAAAAATCGGCCCTTCGCGGGTACGCCAGTAACCAATATCGGTTACACCAGAGCGTGGTATCTCCAGCGCAAGTTGCACCCGATGGAAATTTCGCCAAACATGGGTGCATTGGTTTTTCGGCCAATCAGCTGACAGTGTGCGGGTGCAGCCGTCTTATTTTCTGAGTGTACCCGAAAGTGGTGACGAAGTATCTGGGTATACCCGTTTTTGGTTATTCGTCTTTTTTTTCTTTTCCAACGCTACCACCCTGGCGGGAAGCGCCGGAGGGGGGGGCTTCACGCCAGGGTGGAAGCGTTGGAAAAACACAGCGAAACCAAGTGACAAACGGTGAATTACTACACCTAAATCTCGCTCGGAGCGCAGATCTGCAAATGAATATTCCGTCCCATGTCATGCTTTTTGTGCTCCGCGATGAAACAAAATCGATTCAGAAAATGAGGGAAATTCATCCCCCCCGGAGGAAACCCGGGAAGAACTCGTGGAAAACTGGTAACCTGGGGGAAAATTGAAATGCCCGGGGGGGGATATTTTCTCTGGAACCCTAGTGGGGGGGGGGAACTCAGACGTCTACGGTGTTCGAGACAGATCAAATTGTGCTGGACGCCAGGGAACAACCACAAATTCTATTCTAGGTGGCTCCTGCATCTTCGAAAATAAGAAGAACCCTTAGCACACAAGGCCGATCAGGCGTGACGTTGTTGCCAAACCATGCTTGTCCTTAACACTACCGGGTGTACTTCCTGCATTTACCAACGTGCATGACTGAGGAACGACATCAACCTCGATGCCCAGAAATAAGAAACCCATCACCAACTCCTACGTTGATGTCCTTGTCCATTGTCATCACCAGCTCGGGTAGCAACAACCTATTACGCAGAACGTTACTTCTACCATCACGCAGGAATCCGAAAGAGGACCCGGCTTCAAAAGTCCAGGGAAATCGCAAGACTCTGCCGCGGCCGATGGTTGTGCCAAAACATCAATCGGTTCAAGAAACAAAGCGCTAGCCTACTCAGCTTGGATGAAAAATATGAAAACCAGGACAGCGAAAAATTCGTGTGTCCCGCCGGGCATAAGCCACCGCATTTGCACACGGTTGAGCCATTAGCAAGCTTCACAACCCGAAATCTCCACCATCGACCTGCCGGTCGCCACCTTCTAGAAGTACGTACGTCGTGTACCACGTTCCTCCGTGCTACTCCGGAGTATTTTCGTAAGATACCATTTCTATTACAAGTCGCCGAAGCGCGCCCAACTTGGGCGAAATACATCAATAACGGGGGTAGGGTTGGGTTGGGCTGGGTTGTTTCCCGCCCTCTTTTTCACTCTTCGTCGTCGCTGCTCAACGCGTCCTTCACCTTGTCGGCGCCCTGTTGGGGATGGGATAAATGCACACGCGAAGGGGGGAAAATGATGAGAAACCAAGATGAGGGGGGGGGAGGGGGCAGGAGACAGGGCGAAGTGTGCTAGGCGAGGTGAGGGGGGCAACACACGAGACACGCTGTTCCACCACGTAGACTATCAGCAGCAACATGATCATATCACCCATCTTTCTGCTGTGGAAGCATACCCCGTAATAAAGACGTGCAGCTCGTTGCTCGACAGCATGCGATCAACTTCACGCTCATGCATGCATAGCCCTTCATGGATTCGACACGTCCCGACACACGTCGCCACACACGACGCACACGAACGCACGCACCTTCACCACGCCACCGCCCACGCTATCGGCCGCACCCTTGACCCCGCTGGCGGCGCTGCCGGCCACCGACTTCACCCCGCTGGCTGCGCTACCCGCGGCCGACTTGACGCCGCTGGCCCCGCTTCCCGCGGCGTCCTTGACGGCACCCGCGGCGCTGCCGACCTTGTCTTTGGTGGCCTCGGCGGCCCCCTTCGTCTCGTCCTCGACGGTGTCCTTGGCGGACTCTACCGAGTCCCCGGCGGAGTCTGCCACGTCCTTCGCTTCGCCCTTCAGGTCGGCGGTAGCGTTTTTTCCCTTGTCGAGCGCGTCCTTGCTCTTGGAGCTCACGTCGTCCACGGCGTCTTTGGCCGTCTCAGCGCCCTGTGTTTGGGGGGGGGAGGGGGAGGCAAAGAACGAATGTAAATATCAAACAGCGGAGCACTCAGGCACGCCACCACCGCAATAACCAGGATGCGATTTGTGGTGAAGGTTGGGGTGTTCTTTGCGCAAAGTTGACGTTGTCCTGATGTTTGTGTGTTTGAAACAATATGTGAAGGGCGTGTTTTTAAGTTCTGTGGCCGTCAGGTCGGTGTCTGAATGTGAAAAAAAAAACACTCCTTGTCTACCACGCCTCACCCCCGTGCGACATCTACCGCGCCTCCAGTGGGTGTCCTGCCGTTGAATAGTGAACATCTCAGGTTGTTGTTAAGTAGTGTAGCTGCTAGCATGAATAGGGTACATCTTATTATTGATAGGATGCGGGTCGGTCATGAGGTATACCCTTCTGAGCCCTCCCCCCTTAGAATTGTCTACTCTGAATACCCCCTGAGATGAAGTTGGATCCCCACTTCATCTCAGACCCTTGCTGATCGTCTCTCAGCAACAACAAGCAACTTTCCAATCTCAACGTGGCCGTGGACAAGCGTGTCAACCACAGAACATTTATCTATCACTAAGAGCAAGCTACCGCCCACGGCTTCACTCCTTGAAATTGTGGTTTGAAGACAAAAATATACTCATCATACGCAAACAGTCCGATTGATCCAACCACAAAACCGACCTCACCGCAGCGATATTACATTCTAGGGCGGGGCCGCCGCGGCAAGCACTATCCTTGAAAAGAAAATCAACAGACCAACCGTACAATGTGCCCATATCGAAGACGGGACGCCGTGGGCTCAAAACGGTATTCCGTTAATCAAATATGTACATTTATCAACATAGATATGACCTTACACTGGTACACAACACGCATGTACCGTATGAGTTTTTTCGTAACACATCAACATGTGTAAAATGTCGTGGATAGGGCTCGCCGAGTACATATTTATCAGGTTTCTATCCAATCCAGTTCTACAGCAGTCATACAAGAAGACAACCTCTGGTGCGTTTCTACGTTTTATAAAATAGAGCCGACACAGCCAGCGCCGGGGGTGGAGAAGACCCAACCGGCTCAAGACTTTATTTACACTGTAGCAACTTTACGACGCCGACGTAGTTTTGGTGCCACCACATCTGATGCTGCAGGACTTGTGATGATTGCATCAGGTGCACCTGATGACTCAGGTGGTGGAACAAAATCAGTCCAAAGTTCAACTAAGCAAAGGTGGGGAGATATTCGCCCCATCATGCCCTTTTGCCTTCCACTGTCCGATTTGACGCCCCAGCTCATCATGATCCCCACAAACTTTATAGGCGAGTGTGGAATCTCACCTCGTCAATCGAGCTGCGGACTCGGGTAGTTGGTTGACGTACAGCAGACACAGGGGGCATACCCCCACGGGCAAGAGCAGCCGAGGGAACAACGAAGGCGCTCGTCGAAGCAGTCATGCAGCCAAGAGCGGCGATCATGGTGGTGGTGAACTTCATGGTAGTTTGGTGGAGTAAGCGAGAAGGAAGGGTGAGCGTGGGTTGTGTGATGAAGTGGGTGGGGATAGGCCAATCCACGGTAAACCAAAAAGCTCTCGAAACATGAGCTTTCTGGCGTTCTCCGGAGATTTCATGTGGTGGAGATCGTCGATGAGGCAGTCTAGAAGGTTCTGGCGTGCAGAAGGGTCTGGTTGTCAATCTTTCTAGACTTGAAGGTATTGTGGGCCGGCAAGGGTTTGGATCACAGCCACCAAACTGAAGGCGGGGAGACCACGGCTGTAGCCGCGTTATCATGTTCCCAACATTTGCCCAACCCGTAGCTTTTCCTGCTGATACGGCATAAGCTTCGAGAGAGCTTCTGACTTCTGGCCCTCGACCCTCCACCACAGTTCCCCCGCTTCTAGACGTCTAGCACGGCATCTTTTCCAACGGTACTTCTGTACATGATTTCCCCCCGCGCTCTTCCACTACAGATCTCAACCACGTCCATTCTCCTTCATCTACCTAACATCTCAACGACACGCACACTTCTTCACCATGGACAGCATCAAGAACGCAGCGACTGACGCGAAGAACGCTGTGATGGGAAACCCTTCCGTGAGTGCTGTCCAACACAACAACAGCAGTGAAGGCAACAACAGAAGCTAGAGCCAACATTGCTTGTGCCCGCTGCCTGTGGAGGCCATGCCGGCCAGGTGATCTCTCTCTCATCAGATAGACCGAGAAACCCTCTCCGTAGTTGGCAGGCAGGCACGCAGGTCCCTCTGCACTCCAGCCGTGCCCTAGTAGTCCCGTTGCGCAGAAACCCTCTCCGTAGTTGGCAGGCAGGCACGCAGGTCCCTCTGCACTCCAGCCGTGCCCTAGTAGTCCCGTTGCGCTGTAGATGTATGCATTTTTTTTTTTGTCTTCACTTCAGATCAGCGCTCACACGCCTGGTGCCGTTTACTCCTACCCGTGGTCACATAGAAGAGCCCCTCTGTACCCTCCCCTCCTGCGGTACTTTGCCTTCGAAAAGAGTTCAGCACTCTCTTCCCTCTGTTTACACACGAACCAGCGCTATCCACTAGGTCAGGAGCGGAAGCGAGAGAAAACTCACTTTGTAAGACAAGTAGCCCGCTTACGCCGGGATTCGGACCCTTGACCTGACCTCAAGAAGGTTTCGAGGTTATTACCAACTAGACCACCGGGGTGCTAAGAACATGCATAGTCTGCAGCCTACCCATTCTTTTTTGTTTGTAAACAGCAATGAGCAAAAGAGCCGGTGAGCAGTACCTTAAAGCAGTCACCTGCACACTGCTTCCTGACTCATGAAAGACACCGATAGCATGAGTTGTTGAAGTCACCGCTGACGCGATACTGCTGTACTGGGCGTCCTTGAAGATTGGCTCGTGCGTCATGTATTGCCGTGTGAGGCGAGACAGACCGGCCATCCTCAATGACGTGTCGATCCAGATGCCGATTACGGATGGATATCGCTCGGCACCGATGTGCTTTACACCAACTCGTTCTGATACCTGCGACTGCTAGAATCCACACTGCCCTGCTGTACTCTTGTCACGACACCCACTCCCCTTTTCTCGATTTTCCTCCCATGTCTTTGTTCGATTCGTCTTCTTCCCGCGTTTTGGTTTCGGCAGGAGGCGGACAAGGCCAAGAACACCGCTAAGGACATGGGAAACAAGGGTGAGAGCACGTTGAGCATGTCCGAAGTTTGTGTTGTCATTCTTGGCTGTATTTCAGTTTTTTGTCGCGGCTGTTTGGTCATTACCGTTGCACGGCCTGGCACAAGGCCTCATCCCTACGATATATGGACATCGTGTTTCGCGGCTGATGCCGCCACGCTTGACGGATTGATTCCAATATTCGTTTTCAATGTTCTGCTGACATGGAAGATTTACTGTAAATGCGTCGAGACGTATGTAGAATCGACGAACTTACGTTTGAATTACCGCTTGTAAAGATATAGTAGCTGTCGCTAAAACGAGCGACAGCTGATAGATGTAACTGTCGTCAGACGTGTGCGTCCGCGGGAGGTGGAAGAGACCCTTTCTTCTTCTTTTTCTCTTTGCAATTCACGTCATTGGTTACCCGCGACGGCGCTGAAGACGCCCATGTCCGTGTACTTGACCCTCGTACTCTGTGCTAACTCCCCAAGTCTAACCTCTTC